GTAACTTTCATATAAAGAAAAAAAAAAATCTGGTCATGAGCCCCAGTCGGGGCTCGACACCAAGACAGACAGACTGACTGCCCGTCAGTCGCAATGTGACTTTGACTTTGACTTTGCCTAATAAAACCATTTTCTCCATTTCTATTTCCATTCTGACCTGAACAAAACAGCGTGATATTCTAACTTCCCGTCCGCTATTTATCGCGCCCGTGTGACAACCACCATAAACAAATGCATATCTCAGCGCGGACGCGTCACGTTGCGTCATGGGGGATCCCGGAGCTACATTCTTCGCGTCCGTGTCGCGGACAATGCCATTCTTCGCGTCCGTGCCGTGTGACTTCCCTCATATATTTGTATGCCTCCATGACGTGCGCCAATATTCACGTACGTGAAACAGCGCTCGTGTGACATTAGCCTTAGTTCTGGTGTAGCGTTCGTTAAATAAGCAAAGAATAAAATCAAATAAAACAAAAGTAGAGCTGTGTATGTATGTAAGGGGTGGACCATAAAAATCGGCCCCCGCACTGCGACCTTCAATAATCTATAAGTATAGAGCTAAATAAATACTTTAGACAGTGCGTTTTCCCACGCTACTCATGTTTTCATGCCGAATAGTGTAGTACCTCCATTTCCCCATGCCGCCTCAGCCTTGGCTTAACGACCGCTTTCTTTCCCAGCTTGCAGAGTCGGAGGAGAAAGGATGCTCGGATAGTACTTCATGTTTGTAGACAGAATTCCCATTGGATGTGAGTTCGCTAATTGAGATAAGAATGGTAGGGTGTGTATGTGTTAGGGGCCTAAGTTACAGTACGTCACCCTCCGTCGGCTGAACTTCTTGCCATGCTTTTCTTTTCACGCGCAACCTAGAGACGAAGTCTGAAAACACGGCCGTACCAAGCGGTCGGTATTTTCTTATTGCCAGATATCGGGTGACTGTCCTTCATGAAGGCAATGTGTTTGTTAGTATGGAAAAGAGTGCGATCATGTACGCAAGAGTACGGGTTGAATTACTGATGAAAGCGGAGACAGTGAAGCGCTTAACACAAGGATATCGTAGGTCTGCCATTTATCTTTGGTTTCTGAGGATACAGTAGCCTCCCGCTTGCCACTGACCGACACCTCTTTTGCAGTCTGCTTTCCGCGTAACTGGGAACAAGGCTCGTGTTACAAAACAGTATAAACCAGTAACTTCTAGGTAAAGGTAAGCAGGTTAAGCTATCCCTATAACAGGCCGTGGAGGCCCGTAGGGTTGTGAGATGTCAAAGCTCCCACATTTTGTAGACATGCGGCTCACAGATGGCGGTGAGATTGTCAGCCTTACGCGCCGGCCACCTTTTACCCACCAGGAATATTCCTGGTACTCATTTCTGTTAGAGGCTAAGTCGACCCCAGGGCCACAGTGAGACTGGAAGGGTTAGGTCAACTGAAAAATCCAGTGACCTCATCGGGGTACGAACCAACGACCTTACGGCTTGTAGCATACTGCCTCAACCAACAACGCTACCGCGTGCCCCGACCAGCAACTGGCGGCTGAGGCGTGCACCAAAGGAAGGAAGTAAAGAAAGATAGGAAGCAAGAAAACGTAGAACATACAGTGGTGCCAAATGTAACATTGCTCGTTTTCAAGTTTCTTACGAGTATTTCACGATGCTGTCAGTGTCGAGGCTGTATTGTCGCTGGGATGATAATGAATATGGAACGGTTCGCGAAATGAGATTAGTGGGGCGTTGGTTTTCAGTGAAGGGGAATTTTCACACAAAGAATTAATTACGAATAGACAAACTTCACTCTGTGTGATATTTAGATATACACTGTATTATGCTTGAGGCATCGGCTTGCAGCAATGTCAAAATATGAAGGTATGTACAGTCGTTTCTTCCTTAATCTCAGTGTAATTTATAGGGGTTGAGGTTATGAAGATATGGCGCCGTGTAGTCCGTTGAAAGTGACCCGACGTTCCGGAGGAACATTGCCTCCATCTTCAGGGCTGAACAAGCCAGCAAGATACAGTACCAGCTTGAAAGCTTAGCCCAGAACACACTCCTCAGTGTAATTTATTTTAATTGTAATATAAACAGTGACATTTCTGAAATTGTAATTTCGCCGTAAGCTGTTTTCCTTTTGGAGGGGGAGGGTTCGGATATTTTTAAAACTTATGCAAGTCCAGTTTCCTTACGCATCGCTATACTTTCTTTCACACAAACTATGCACTTTCGCATTTTTTGATAGCAGGATGACTTTCATTGCAGTGTCTCAGGGATGGTTTCCTAATGCCACATGCTGCAGCAGCTCGTTCCCGAACTTTTGGATAGGGCCTTTGTTTTCAGCCTCTTTCATGGAAGTATACATGAAACTCCGTGGCCTGTAGTCCGTAAGCGAGCTATACATACCGAGCTTATGGGCGAGGTTAGTGCCAACTTTAGCGGATAGAGGGTGTCGCGTGGTCAGCGCATCTGATCCCCACGGCCGTTAATCTCGGTTCTCTACACCGGAGTCGCCATTTTCTTGAAATAGCTCCTCATCCTCACGAGGCTGAGTAGACCCCGTTCCAGGCCCACTACTTCTCAGAAAATCTAGTCGCGCCGGGAATCGAACCGGACCTCTGGATCTGTAGCCACGAACTCTGACCACTAGACCACAGAGGTATTGAGGACTACCTCTTTCGCCAACTTGGGCACGCAAATCCACGCCTCCCTTCGTCAGAAAACGGTTAAGTAAGGAACGTGTACGAACCTGTAATAACGTAGTACGACTGTAAATACTTCTTTTTACGCGGCATCTGAGTAGAATGATTTCCTTATCAGCAGACATACTCTCTGATGACTGTCACTTAAAACGAACAAGACGCGACTCCGCCACCAGTTCCAGTTAAAACACTGTAATCGTTCGTAGGGTGCTCGACAAGTTGCGATCGATACACACGTCGGTGTTGGTAGACGTGATGTTAGTTGCTCATTTCTCCGCTGTGAGGCACTGGTGTTCTGCAGGGCCTTGCCCATCAGTCATACCCTCCACAGGCCTGCTAGATGTAGTTCGTTGTTTGACTAGATTTGCAGCAGCGTTTGTGTGCGTGAAGTGATGCTTTTGCCTTGCCGGTGGGCAGGCATTCGTATATGTAACGTGAATTGTAGTGATTCTGACGTGATTGTGTATGTGTTGATAGTGTAGGTGTTTGCAGTGGTTCCCGAAAGCGAGTGAGTGGGTAGGCATTTATATTTCACATGTCGGCGTCCGTACGGTTGATTACGGTTTTCTCAGATTCGTGCCATCACTGTTCATGCATTTATCTCATTATTTTGTGCCATAATTGACAGTTGTGGGTTGGTATGCAATTACAGACTGACGTATGATATGAAATCCATTCGCTACCAGTGTGCTTAAAGTCACTGAAGGAAGTTAGAAATTGACGAAGATCATACAAAATTAGTTTAGCGATACGAAGTTATTTTTTCTTCAGTTTCCGCGCCCTTTGATGTGCTATCCCCTTGCCGGCCTTTGCCTGAAGATTGCCACCCATCATTAGGTTTATTAACAAATGTAGATCACTCCGTCCAATGTAACCTGTAAGTTTTTTACTACATGAAAACTTAACACCCTTACATGTTTCGGTCTCTGTGGACCATCTTCAGAGGGCAAACATCACTACAAATAGGAAACCACCATCACATAAGTTGTTTTAGACTTAAAGTACGTACACTTATATGCTACAATACATATAATACAAAATAGACATTTCACATTTCATAAACACAGCAGTTTCCTGGGAATGTAAAGTTTTTTATAAAATTGTATAAAATTACTTGATAATTAAAAATTAATTAATTATTGACAATCAAAAAAAATTTTAATTATCATCAAGTAATTTTATACAATTTTATAAAAAGCTTTACATTCCCAGGAAACTGCTGTGTTTATGAAATGTGAAATGTCTATTTTGTATACTATGTATTGTAGCATATAAGTGTACGTACTTTAAGTCTAAAACAACTTATGTGATGGTGGTTTCCTATTTGTAGTGATGTTTGCCCTCTGAAGATGGTCCACAGAGACCGAAACATGTAAGGGTGTTAAGTTTTCATGTAGTAAAAAACTTGCAGGTCACATTGGACGGAGTGATTTATATTTGTAATTGTTAGCGTGACGGACCAGAATGAAACAAATCAAAAAGGTTTATTAATTTTGAAACGGGATGGTCATTAAACGTAAGTGCGCCTGGATTGTGTGTAGTATATAATGAGACTGAAATTATTGGTTACATAGCCAGTTTTATATCCACGAGCGTACAAACTTTGCATCGGCCACGTACAGTGAGACATTTCTAACGTTCATGTAGACCATTAGCATTTCACAAAGCCACCTTGGATATTTCAGAGTGTCACTACGGTGAACACTAATGTGCGGTCGTCTGGCGTATGACGCCGTGTAGTCTGTAGATACGTACCAACTTCTTAGGGGAACAAGCTGTCACCATCTGCATAGTATCCTAACAACACGCCGTCACATCGAAAAAGACCGTCGTCGAAATTCGACTTAAATGCTCTGTAAAGAGTACCGAGCATTCTTAATGCGTGTTTGTAAGCGTAAAACCATATTTTCTGTGATGGAACAAGGTGGATGCTTTGACATTCAGGCACTCTTTTTCACAAGTGAAAATTAAGTCTGGTTTTAATGACTGTCTTGAAGTTGTATGTTCGGGGAAGGGGTAGGTTAGCCGTTGGCTGTATTTAAAGCCAGCTTCATTTCTTTAATGCCGTCGTAGATGCTTATAATTTTCCACATTTTTAATACAGGGTTTTCATCATGATTATTGTGTTTGGGCGTTTCTTTAAAAGATAAACCAAAGTATGGCAGGAACGGTGAGGTTTCACTTAAGAAGACCGCGGTTCTTCGTCTCTTTCGCGATCATGCAAAGCTATTCTGTTTGGGGATCCGTTTCTTAGTTGCGTATTTTCTTTTAATTCCTTTGCCAGCACCCGGTTTTAACTTTGAAACACCAGTGGGATTCGGCTTTAAATATTCATTTAACACGTAAAACCCCCCAGCTTTGGTGTGGTGAGTTTTGTTGCAGCCATGTGGTCCCCATTAGTCGGCACCCACGTGACAACCACACCCGAGTGACGCTAAGAGCTTATGGCTGCTCTGTTTAAATTCTGGGATGTAAAACAACGGCGAAGGAAGGGGTATACAGTCTTTAGTGAGTGAAGGCGGGCCGGAAACATTGAGGCGAAAGTCACCAATGTTGCAAGCACATGGGTATAGTTTGACAGCCCTGCAGAAGATGCAGTTTGAGGTCCTGTGTTGCTGGAGTAAAGGCGTTTTTAGGTTTTCTGTTTTACCCCCTCCGAATCCAGTGACTTTAATTGCAATGGCTTAAAACTGGTTACAGTATTTACTTTTTATAACCGTTCGTAAGTCGTGACTGTTATGTGTGCCTTTTCGTCTTATGAGCCTTCGCAGATGAATATCGGAAGTGAAATGGAAACAGCCCGAACGCCTGGCCGACGTCTCCAGACAGTGGAAATACATATTTACAAAAGTCAGTTTCGTAGCATACGTGTATATTTCATCAGTTCTTAGTTCTTACATAATTGCTTGAGGAAAATTAAACTTAACATAGTTTTACTGCGGAAGTTAGTGAATGGCTGTTTAGGAGGCTAAGCTCTTTTGTTAGCAACAAAAAAAAACTCCGTGGCCTGTAGTCCGCAGGCGAACTATATCAAACCAGCGACCGCCGCTTTTCGGCGAATTTGGTGCCAACTTTTGCGGATAGAGGGTGTCTCGTGGTCAGCCCAACGGATCCCCACGCCTGTTAATTTCGGTTTTCTAGACCGGAGGCGCCATTTCCTTGAATTACCTCCTCAATTATCCCCACAAGGTTGGGTGGACCCCGTTCCAGACCCACCACTTCTCAGAAAATCTGTACCTTTTGTTAGCAACATTGAATACATTTCGCTGTACTTCTTTGTGCTGTTTCGATTGGAATATTGGGATCCCCACGAACTGCTGGATGGCACATACGTATGAACTTAACATCTAGGCTCTAGATGCAGTGGAACATGAAATAATGCACGCCTTCATCGACCCTACTAGAGTTTAGGTCTGAAGATTTTGTGTTTCCAAGAAGTTCGACCTTCAAAAAATACGCCCACGAACATTTATTTTCTAAGGGTGTAAATGGCTTTGGGTTCGTACCACATCTTGTAACCCACTGCTTTAAAAATTACTAGATCAGTAAGAAAATGTGTTGGCTGCCTTAAGTTGTAAAAGTAAAGCTATTGCTGTAACAGGCCATGAAGGCCCATAGGGTTGTGAGACGTTAAGGGTCCCACACTATCTAGACAGTCGGCTCAAAGATGACGGTAAGGTTGTCAGCCTTACGCGCCGGCCGCGCTTTACTCCCAGGAAAATTATTTATTTAATTCCTGGTACTCATTTCTGTTAGAGGCTGAGTGAACCCCAGGGCCATAGTGCGGCCGGAAGGATTAGGTCAATTGAAAAAAATCCAATGACCTCATCGGTATTTGAACCCGCGACCTTCCGACTTGTAGCATAGTGCCTTAACCACTACGCTACCGCGTGAGGGAGGGGAGTAATTCATCACTTCTGAGCCCAACATCCTAAGGTCCACACACACACACAAACACACACAGACAGCGTTGCTTTGCCTTAAGTTGATGTTCCCATTATACATGTGTGTGCGCGCTTGCTGTCTGTGTGTGTGTGTGTGTGGACCTTAGGATGTTGGGCTCAGAAGTGATGAATTACTCCCCTCCCTCACTCCTGCCCTCTCGAATTTGCTCACAAAATTAGTATACGTAGTAGAAGGACTAGTAGCGTGAACTTTGACGTCGTTTCATTAGGATATGTGTAAATACAGGGCACACGCAAGTGTGGATTCGTTTCCGTCCACGTATTTCAACTAATCGCGATTTTCACTGAAAGTTGGTATATCGATATACACTAAAAATTGTTTCACGAATTTAATTTTGACCAAAAATTTTATCATTTTTCTGTTAATGTTTCTTGTACAAAGTACATATATTGGTGCATAGTAAAAAGTGTAGGCTTAGGTATTTTTGACACCTTTTTGTCTATTTTTTTCCTAGCGGCTGGCCACGCTACTAAATGCGCACACGACCTGAAGCACGGACTTCCCTATTGCTGTGACTTATTTGACCTTCAGCATTCAGTTGTCTTTCACCACTAATGGCGTCAGCATGGCCTCTCCGCTTACTACGTGCACTAAAGAAGAGTAGCTTGCAGTGTGTTGGCGGACCGCCTCTGTGGTCTAAGTTTTTGGCTACAGACTTACGAGGTCCTGGTTCGATTCCCGGAGCAACCAGATTTTTGAGAAGTAGTGGGTCTGGAACGGGGTCCACTCAGCCTCATGAGGATAATTGAGGAGATATTTTAAGGAAATAGAGGCTCCGGTCTAGAAAACCGAAATTAACGGCCGCGTGGTTTTTTTAATTGTAGAAAAAAATAATTGTAAATACAAGAAAAAGCCTAGGCCGTGGGGATTCGTTGCGCTGACCACGCGACACCCTCTATCCGCTAAAGTTGGCACTGGTTTGGTGGGTATAGTTCGCTTGCGGACTGAAACCACGGAGTTTGTTTGAGGTGGTTTGGCGTGAGAGATAAGTCCATCGAAGACAGTTCGGTGAGTGTTTTGCCGTAGCGAAAAGTGTGGTATTGGTTGTACCTGTTCGAAACTATCAGAACAAACGTCAGTCAAGGAGCTCGTCGTAATGGACTACTGAAGAGCACACTGAACAAATTCGTGCGCCAGTTGTCGGCGGAAGGAGGGTGGCAATCGATGAGGCGGCAAACCAGTTGCAGATTGGTCACAGTTCTGTCTATGAAATCATCCACCCCAGACTTTACTTTAGTGTCGCGTTGTCTCATTGTCACCGGTGACAAACCTAATGCACCACTACAAGCCAGAAACAAACGTGGTTGCTGCTTGCTTTGAAAGTTTGCATCTCAAGTGACTACCACTTCGTTGTAATGGCGTTTGTAGTCTTTACATAAGATTCCTCGACATGGGTGTTTCACTATCCATAGTGTATAACCGGGTTTCTTGCGTGTGAAGCCTGAGTTAGTTTTATCGCATTTTGAATTTTGTCGTTTCAGTTCGGTTACGCAGATTTTTGGCCGACTTTTCATTCTCAAGGAAAGAAGATAATGAATCACA